TTCGGCCACAGTCAATGGTCACTGAGTCTCTCAGATAATCTTGGCAGATGGAGCAGCAGGCTCTGTTTGGAGGTCAGCCAGGGTTCCTGCAAAGGCCATTGTGCAGTGAGGATTTCAGTCTGAGAAAACTCTTCAGAAAGGTCTGGGATTCTGGTAGCTAGGAAAAGTGAGAAGTGATGATTTCTCAGCATACTCTGTCTTTCCTGGAAAGCCACCTGTGGGATTTTCAGGGTCTCCAGAAAACTATAACCACTTAAGCCTGTTTGTGCTTCCTTCCCTTCACCTCTAGAAGCAGTTTCCGGAAGAATTATAATTCCTAGTCAATCAGTCATGGCTTTATTTGTCACTTTCCTGCCTATGTTCAATGGCCTGCAGTTAAAGATTGTCTGTGTAGCCTTCTTAATTAGTAAAGAACCATAAATCCAAGAAGTGATGAAAATAAAGTGTAGGGATATGGTTACCAAAATTCAGACTGTAGTCAACTGTGCCGTACAATTGACCACCTTTCTGCAGCAAAAAATGTAAAGAAAAAAAAATTAAAAAGGCAATACACATTAAATAGATGGAGAGTTTATATTGATGACAAAATTTTACCTGCTTTTTTTCAGATTCGAATACAAAAATTTCCAAAACAAAAGAATAATTACGACTCCAATTGGACAGTGGATATCACATGATAAAATGTTGCATATTATTGGACTGATAATATGTTATGATTGATTATGTTAATGAATACTCTATACTAGAGAGTTATACAGTACAATATTTACATGAAAAATCCTATGATATCTAGGATTTTATTTTTTTAAAACAATGATGGTTACAGACAAGTGGGGCATACGTTGGTGGATGCATTCATGCAGTTTATTATACCATTTTCTCTACTATTTTATACATTAAACATATTCTATAATAGAAACATTTTTAAAAGGCTAACCATTGTTGTCAGTGTGTCTTGTCTCATTCCAGCCAAGCCAGCTTATCTCACTCCATTCTTGGAGCCTCATCTCTCCTTTTCCCTCCATCTCTGAGACCTCAGATCTTTTCAATCTCCTTCTCTCTTCCTACTCACAGTTGACCCAAAACTTTCCACATTCTCTTCCTACTCCAAGCCCATCTCCCACTCTGTTCCCACTCCTCTATCCCATGGACTTCTCCCAAATTGAGATAAATTGAGGTTGAGGAAAGAACAAGGTCAGTTATCAATGTTTCATCTGCTTGTTTGTTTTGTGGGTTGGATTCCAGTCCTGATCTCTTACTTCCTGTGTCTTAGTGGTCTGGGTCCTTGATTCTCTCAGCTTCCAGGGGCACACAGAACAAGGATAACTACCCTTGCCCTCCCTTTCCTTGTGGGTTGGGCAGTTTTTCTCCCATGAGGTGTGCCTTTGTAATCAACTATAAGCCCGTTGCCATCGAGTCAATTCTAACTCATAGTGACCCCACGGGATAGAGTAGAATTGCCCCATAGAGTTTCCAAGGAGCACCTGTTGGATTCGAACTGCCATCCTTTTGGTTAGCAGCCATAGCACTTAACTACTATGCCACCAGGGTTTCCAGTCAACTATGGTCAGGGCTTAATCATCACACATAGGTTTCTGGGCAGGAGCCAAACTCTTCAATATGGAGAAAAATTACTACTAACAGTGCTTACTTCACAGTTGCATAAGATGTAAATGAGAATGGACTTACATCAACTTATATCAGCATAAAGTAAGTATTCATTGTAGGTATTTGAACAATATTATCCTTTACTGATTACTGCAGAAAAAATACTAAAATAAAAGGACAAACATTTTAAAAATCCCTCATAATCCCTCCCAGATGTAATCACATACTTTTAAAATTAGAATCCCTCAACCACAATATTTAAAAATAATGACTGATAATAGAGTGGTAATTATATTGACTTATATTACTCCATAATTTTTATAGCATTCTGTATATGTACCGCGTGTGTGGGGGTGTGTATGTGTGTAAGTCTGTGGATGTATCGTATACCTGCCTTTTTTTATACTACAATACTGGGTTCAGTTTGGGTGATCCTATCCATTATCACATTTTTCTATATTGATGGGCATCGACTAGTCAATTCTTTATTGACTAGGACAGTTTTCTTAATGCATAAGGATACATTTGGGGCTACCTTCTTTCTATAAAATCTGTTTGACCTTCCATTGTGTGGAATGTAAGTAATATCTGCGTAACATGGTTTATTCAGCCAGTATTGACAATAGACATTTCCAATGTTTGTGCCTTTTTGAAATTCAAACTAGTGCTGAAAACATCTTCTTTGTGCATTTTTTTCAAATTATATGTACTTTTATAAGATTAGCAGAAGTGTAATAATAAGGACAAAAAAGATTGTTTTCAATTTTTGATGGCTATTTCAGCACTGCTTGGGGAAAAAAAGGTGCCTACTTCCCATGCCTACAATGTTAGGATACTTCACCCCTCATTCTTAACCATGAGTGTTATAAACCTTTCCAATCTGACAAATAAGATTGTCCTAGTCATCTAGTGCTGCTACAACAGAGATACCACAAGTGGATGGCTTTAACAAAGAGAAGTTTATTCTCTCACAGTCCAGTAGGCTACAAGTCCAAATTCAGGGCATCAGCTCCAGGAGAAGGTTTTCTCTCTCTGTCAGCTCTGGAGGAAGTTCTTTGTGATGCATCAGTCTTCTGTTGGTCTGGGAGCTCCTCTGTGCAGGAACCTCAGGTCCAAAGGATGCGCTCTGCTCCCGGCACTGCTTTTCTTGGTGGTATGAGGTTCCCATATGTCTCTGCTCATTTCTCTCTTTTATATCCCAAAAGAGATTAGCTTAAGACACTATCTGATCTTGTAGACATCATCAGTATAACCTCATCATAGTGATAGAGTTTACAACACATAAAGGAGATCACATATAATCTCGTCATAGTGATAGAGTTTACAATACATAAGGAAATAACATCAGATTATACAATTATACAATACTGGGAATCATGACCTAGCCAAGTTGACAGATTTTTTGGGGGACACAATTCAATCCATGACAATGATAAACAAAAAAAGGCACTCATAAAAAATTTGCCGTTCTATGATTATTAATAAGCTCTGCATCTTTCTGTTACATGCTTCTAGGTCCATTTTCTACATTGGGGTGAGTTAAAATTGTGTTTGTTCTAACTTGTAGGTATTTTTGTTGAGGGATAATGGCATTTTAATAGTTAAGACTGAAAGTATTTTTCCTTGTTTTATTTACACTCAACTTGTACTTTTAAATTTTACTTATCTCCTAGGTCTCAAGTTATTAATATATAGGCCTTCACCATATTCAGCAGTAGAGACACAAAGATGAAAAAAATCAAATCAAATTTGATATATTGTGAATTCTGTGGCATAAAAAATACTGTCTTTTAAGCCTCAAAATTGATGGAGGCTTTCCTTAAGTTTTACTCTATTCTCACATTAAGAGTAAAGTTTAGATTGAGATTGTCCTTATGTATCTGATTCTAACAGGGATGTTGTCTTAGTCGTCTAGTGCTGTTATAACAGAAATACCACAAGTGGATCGCTTTAACAAAGAATTTATTTCTTCACAGTAAAGTAGGCTAAAGGTCCAAATTCAGGGCATCACCTCCAGGGGAAGGCTTTCTGTCTCTGTCGGCCTTCTCATCAATGTTCCCCCAGACTAGGAGCTTCTCCGCGCAGGGACCCCTTGTCCAAAGGACACACTGTGCTCCTGACACTGCTTTCCTGGTGGTATGAGGTCCCCCTGTGTCTCTGCTCACTTCTCTCTTTTATATCTCAAGAGATTGCCTCAGGGCACAATCCAATCTTGTAGACTGAGTCCTGCTTTACTAACACAACTGCCACTGATGTAGGAAAATCACACAATACCAGGAATCATGGCCCAGCCAAACTGATACACAATTTTTTTGCGGGGCATAATTCAATCCATGACAGATGTAAAGTAAATTTCTCAAAGCTACATAGATAGGTGACCAAGGCAATGTTCTAATTTGGGGGTCACGTATCTGCCCCAGAGCCAGTGCCCTTTTCATAGCCTCAGCAGGGTTGACTGGGAAGTGGATGGGATGGGGAGCTTGTGATAGTGAGTGGGAGGAGTACACTGGCCACAGTAATAAAGGCGTGAGAACAAAAGATTGGGGATAGAATATAATCTGTGTTTCACTAGAATGTAGTGGTTGGTAGGAGCATCAACTAATAAATCCAGAGTTTCTTTTAAAGAAAGCATATCTTCTTACCCACAGGAACTAACACTTTAAGGCATGAGGCTCTGAGGTCAGCCATGTCTATGTGCTTAACCCCCAATACAAACCCTGAACATCAAAGCATGTTTCTATGTGCATGTTGCCACACATCATTGTTGGGAGATCAAGTGCTCTCCATATAATTCCACTGGAAGAGGAAATTCAGACCCTTGCACCTGGTCTCTCCTGTCCTGTGTGCCTTTTCCCAGGTTGATTTTAATCTGTATCCATTGTGTGAATAAACCAGAGTGAGTACATGAGCTTTGTTGAGCTCTGTGAGTCCTGCTGGCCAATCACTGGACTTCAGGGTGTTCTGGGGCTTGACAGAGTCCCCTCTCTACATCTCTTCCCAATTTTTCCAAACATGACCTTTGCAAGAAACTCAATAAATAGGTAAATTTATAGGATTTGAAGATAAAGGAAACTGGTAAATGTGATAAGATACATTTATTGGCAGAAAACAAATCGATAAGAAAAAGTGGTAATTCTGAATTCCTTTTGGGTTTGAAAAAGCATTTTGGAATTGATTCCCAGATGATCCCTGTGAAATAGGCATTACAAATACTATATTTAGCTTTTGAAACAAATGGAACAAAAATAACTTTCTTCTGAATATAGAAAAAAACACCATAAATCTTAAAATCATATTATCCCAAAATGTAAACAAGACTATACAGTAACCTAAAAACTTTCCATGAATACAGAAAGAAAACACAAAGAGAAAAGAATAGTTTTCTAGGTCATTCACCATTCATCTGTGACTTTACAGTTTGCAAGTGAGTTTGAAATAGGTCCAGTAGAGAAATAAGGCCTCAGTTTTTCTGTGAACGTATCAGTGAATGTATAAATAAGAGATCTAATATTCATATTATAGAACGAAACCTCTCCCAACTCATAATCCAGGAAAATACCAATCTGCATGAGGTTTACTGTATCATATGTACCACATGTATTAGTCCACTGCTGAATTTGCCAGCATCCATCCTTTGATGATGCTGACATAGTTGCATTTCGGGGTAAAGATTCTTTACACACGCCTACAGCCCATTCACCTGTGCCTCTTACTTCAACCTGCCAGAAATGTCTGCCGACATCAAATCCTTCAGCACTCAGGATAGCTGGATAAAAAGTAAATCTCTTGGGACCGTAGGGCAAATTTAATTTCATCTTTCCATATTTCACGCTTTTTCTGTCTTCTGATATGATGAGATTGGGGTGGGCAGTTTCAAGATCAAGTGTCAAATCTGCCTTAAATATGTTCATCATCTTTTGCAGGCCAAATGGTTGTGGAGGGAGACACAAACTCTTTTCCTTTAACTCATATGAAAACACTGCTGGTGTCTTTAGGTCCTCACACCTGTTGTGGATACTGTTCATATTTGTCAGTAACTCTGGGTCTGCCTGCACACACTTTTCTGTTATTTCACTTAGCAGATTTTTTAGAGTGGAAATATGGTCTGAGAGTAAGGTTTTGTTTTCAATGAGTTTGTCAGTAACTTCCTTCTCTTCTATCAGTAATTCCAAAAAAATGGCATCTTGCTCCTTACCCAGTAACTGCTTAAGTTGTTTAAATTCAAAGTTTAATTTCTTTTTCTGATTTTCCACCTTGCTTCACAACTTAAATGACTTTGAAGCCTGCATTTCTGATTGCTTTTCAGCATCTTCAACTTGCTTCCTCAGGGGCTCAATGCAGCTTTTGAGCTTCTTCCTGTGACTAGTTGCAGCTTGGTCAATGGGGATGAGGTGGTGATCCTGGTGGTTGGAGGAGATTCTGCACTGGGGACACAGCAGCTCCAGGTCCTTCTCACAGAACAGGGCCAAAACCTGGTTGTGTTTCTCACACAGGGGTTTCTCTTCCTTTGGGATCCTCTTGGTCCTTGTGGTGAGAAGTTGCTTAACAATATCAATCATGTGACATAGTTGAGGGTTCCTCCTGAAATTCCTGTCCAGGCAGTGGTGAAGGCAGATGGGACAGGGGAAGATGTCCGGTAGACCTTCCCAGCACTGGTAGATGCAATGGCGACAGAAGTTGTGGCCACAGTCAATGGTCACTGGGTCTTTCAGGTAATCCAGGCAGATGGGACAGCCAGCCTCTGCTTGGAGGTCGTCCAGGGAGGCTGCAAAGGCCATTGTGTTGCCAGGGTTTCAGCCTGAGGAATGCCTTTGTAGATGGCCAGTTTATCCAGGAGCTAGGAAAAATGAGAAGTGGAGAGTCGTCAGTCTTCACTCTCCTTCCTGAAGTCAGTTTAGAGGAAGTTACTGCCCCGTCCAGAGAGTTTCTGCATCTTTCCACAGTTCCAGAGAAAGCTTCTAAGAAAATAAACAGTGACTGTCTTAGTCTGGGTTCTCTAGAGAAGCAAAACCAGTAGAGTGTCTAAATATCGATACAAAGAGATTCGTGTCTGTGTGGTTGTAGAGGCTGTGTTTCAAGTCCGTGGTCAGGCTGAAGCCTTCTCCTGATTCAAATAGCCATAGTGGCTGTCGAATCCAAGATTGGCAGATCAGAAATCAGGGCTCTTCTCACAGGCTGTGAAGACAGACGAATCCCAAGATTAGCAGGCAAAACGGCAAGTAAGCTGCTAGCTCAAGACCCAAGAACCAGAGGTCAGTGGAATAGGAGCTACCTGCAGGAACCAGAGGGAGCAAAAGCCAGGGGACCTTGACAGACAGTCCACTTATATTGGATGGAGGGCACACTCCCAAGGAAACTCCCTTTCCACTGATTGGCTGCTGACAGCAGATCCCATCAAGGAGGTGATCACATTATACTAGATCTCATCATGGAGGTGATTACATACTACATGACTGTCAAACTCCACCATAACTGCTAAACCACTGAGAATCATGGCCCAGTCAAGTTGCCATACAACCTTAACCATCACAGCAACCCAGCCAGTTACTGATGTTCTTTTGACCTTCTTCTGTTGTACTCAATGGTCCATCCTATTGAAGGTCAGCACTGGTGTCCTCTTGGTCCAGAAAGAATTACAATTCCAAGTCACCGTATCTTTTCTGTGGACTAGAAGATATTGACATTTTAAAAGAAGCTTAATCTAGCTTTTATCCCTCCTTCCTTATATGAAGTGTACCTCAGGTTGAACAAATATTATATTAGGAGAATATTTAATGAGTTAGAAATAAGCACTATGATAATTTTTCAATAGGCTAGGCAGTTATCACCAGTGACTACTAAAATCACAAAGGAAAGAGAAACAGATAATCTATTCTTTATGATGGGAACCATCAACACTCTCTGTAAACTAATTTTGCTTAAAAAGAAAAAAAAAATCTCAAATCTGATCAAGAATCTAACTCCCACTACCTATTAAAGGAAATACAGGACAGATGTTAGGACAAATTGATTTTGCAATTAATAAAATCCAGAGTGTGATATGTTTACCAGAAAATCAGCCAAGTTTGTCAACATTAAACAGTGAGAGAGAGCGAGAAAGAAGGTAGAGTTAGAATTTATGGATTAAAGTAAATTTAAAAGACACACCAACAAATTATAATGTACTGACTTAATTTAGTTTCAGGTTCAAGCACACGATCTCAAAAGAAATTGTAATGCAGTTTAGGAAATTGTATACCCCATGAGAATAAAATATTATTGCTAATTAATTTAAGATTTGATAATGATGTTACAGTTATTTTAATTAAATAAGTATCTCTTAGGAGAAGACAATATTTCCAGATAAAATCTAAGTGTTTCCTTCTAATTCATGGCAAGAAGTCTGTGGTGTTATATATAAAAAATATTGCCAATGAGGTTATGATTACAAAAGTTGATTGATAAATTCACTAGCTCTTTATAATATTCTCCCTACTATTGGACACTAGAACTACTGTATAAATAAAACGATCTTTTTTTCTCAAAAGACTAACTTTTTGAAACTTGTTTCATTGTGTCCTTACTACATTCCAGCCAAGCCAGCTTCTCTCTGACTCCCTTCTTTGAGCCCCATCTCTTTTTTCTCACCATCTCGAAGTTCTCAGGTTTCTTCAGTCTTCTTCCTTCCTCCCCTCACAGTTGACACAAATCTGCCATATTCTCTTTCCACTGCAGCTCCATCTCCCTGCTTGTCTCCACTCCAAACACTACAAAAAATCCCAAGTTGTGATAAATTGAGATTGTGGAAATTGCAAGGGCAGGCATTAGGGTTCCATTTGCTTGGAATTATGTGGTTTGGACTCCAGGACTGATCTCATATACCTGTGTCATTGTGGCCTGGTTCCTTGATTTCTCAACTTTTCAGGTATCAGGTTTTAGTTTGGTTGTGAACCTAAATACGAATAGAAACCTACTGTAACATTTTGGTTTAAAACAGAAGGAATTTGGTATGGCATAGAATGCAAGAATTCCAAAGAAGCACTTGTATTTTTCATTCTTGTTTAGGTTATTTAATTTTAGATTTACTGATTATTCTCAAAACAGCCCAAAATTTGATTAATATATTGGACGACATCATTTTGAGGTCTCTGGAACTCTAGATCCTGTGATTGTCACCAAAACAAATTCCATATAGATGATTGCAGTGTAAAAAGTCAACTGTGTATGTAAATATTTGTACATAAGAATGTATCAAATATTATTTAATGAGTCCTCAATTAAGTAATCACACACATATTTAAAATTTTATCTGGAGCTCATTATTTAAAATGAAAATGGAGCAGACAGGATCTTGGTGCCTGGCACTTAACAGGTCCTCACAGGAGCACCTTCACTTTTCCACGTCCCCCACACATCTGATCCAGACAGACCACGATCTCGGGGTCATGTCCACAAGCCTAGCTGCAGCAACCGCACTTTGACTGCTTTCTCCTCATTATCAGCCTAAACTATCCACTTTGCCACCCAGAGGGTCGTTTCAAACACCATCTAATGAACAGTTCATCTCTTCAGTGAAACCTCTCAGCCCACTCTGAGGAATGAAGGAATTAGCCCATTCCTTCATTATCCACCATCACTTACTGTGGTAAAGCTCTCCCGATGGCTTACTCCATTCCAGCCCTGGTCGCCCCTGTTCTGGCCCTGCCTGATGCTCAGGCCCCACCTCAGAGTCCCTCCTCACAAATACTCTGTTCTGGTCTTAGCTCTGTGCAGGGTGAGCTGCCCTTTCATCCCTGTGGAGTGGTTGGCTTCCAGGATTATCCATCCGGAACTGAGTGCTCCTTTTTTCAATGTAGAGCAGACAGGTCTTCCTTGCTCCAAATAGCACATGCAACACTGCACAAATTCTGGGTCACTGCTATGGTCGGAAACTGCACAGATTCATCTCATAAGCCTGAGGAGAAAGTCCTTTGCTTTGTTGTATTGGACAGAATTCAGATAGGATCAGCAGTAGGGCAATGATAGGCCTCTGATGGTACTTCCTGTCTTCCTCTCTGATTGTATCTTCTGGACCAGGAATGTGGAAGATGGGACTCATTGTCCCCTGCTTTCTAATATAATCAGTGATTTGCTTTCTGTTTCAATTGAAAAATCTTCATTTAAAATTTTTCTAAAAATAATATTTTACTATGTTTAAGGTGAAAGTTTACACAGCAAATTAGATTTCCGTTTAATAACTCTACATAAATTATTCGGTGATATTGGTTACATTTTTTCACAATGTGTCATCATTCTCATTCATTCCATTCTGGTCGTACCATTTTCAGGGCTCTAGCTTCCCTGCCTCCTTACAGTCTCATCTTTGCTTTAGAGTAATTGTTGACCTTTTGGTGAAAAATCTTCATTTTTATTGAGTGTGCAGATGAGTGACTTTGCTGATTAGCCTTGCCCTGTTCCTTTTCAGCCTGCTTTAATCCCATCTACCCTTTAAGGTAGAATTTACAAGAGCCAGGGCTTGGTTTGTTTTATGTATTCACCAACTCATTCAGGTAGATTTCAAGTAGCAGACAAGTTTGAAGTCGCAACTTCTCCCCTGATTTTGTGCTCATTCTGGAGATGGGGGCTTATGTAGGAGTACTGGAAAAAGGGGGAAGGAGTATGACTGGGAAGCACTGAGGAAAGTATAGGAGCAGGCTTCCCTAGGCTGAACGTATCAGAACTTTTTCTTTTGGAAGCCGGAACATGTAGTTTAAATAAGTGCCCTCCCTGGTGATTCTGATATATTGTGAGTTCCTCGGTAATCTCATCCACAGCACATGGTTTTAGATGCTTTCAAAGTGTTGACAATCCAGAATCTCCATCTTCTGATTGCTCTCTCAGGATCATTACATTTATGCATGCAAACTCTACTTGACATTCCATTCATTGACAGCTCATTCATTCATACATTTATTCTTCAAATTTATTGAGTGCTCACTATCTATGGTCTTTAAGTAGAAGCCTAGACACAAGTCTAGATACACATTCACATCCATCAGAGAGCTACAGGGCAGAGGTCAGAGAGATAAGCAACAGAATGAAGGTTTCAGCCTTCTCTTCATGTGGATGGCCACCTACTCAGAGACGAGTAGGAGGATTTCCCTTTAATCAGGAACACAAATGCATAAATTCCAGAACTATCTGCTATAAATTTTTAAAAAGTAAAATGATATATTCTATCAGATTTTTTTTTTAAAAAAACGCACACAGTAGAGTGATTACAAGTACTTACCCTCCTTTATGGAAACCCTGGTGATGTAGTGGATAAGACCTATGGCTGCTAACTAAAAGGTAGGGTGGCGTGGGCCAAGACACACTTTTTGTTATAAGCCTTGTAGTGTTATTGGTTTTAAAAATAAATGTATATGTATTATTTTGATAAAAATTAATTTACAACAATGAATATAGAAGCAATGGGCAATGTGCAAAGCATTCAACTATTGACCTAATAGTGTGGGAGCTGGTAAGAATATCATTACTTCGTCTTAGGATGTAAAAACACATTGCCATTATTTTCCGTTATATCCCTGAAGAGTAGTTATTTCAATGCCATTTTATTGACAGTTTCCAACAGGGAAGAACAAAAATCAAAAACTCCCTTTTTTATGCTTATAAGTAGTAAAGACAGAGTTCTGAACTATCCCCACTGGTTGAGTTATACAGTACATAGCTTCTCTCCTAAATAAGAGTAAGAAAATAAAACGCACAAGTTTTTCAAATAGTTCATCATTCATAATCTATCACTGTGTAGATTTTAAGA